AGAGAGAGAGAGAGAGAGAGAGAGAGAGAGAGAGAGAGAGAGAGAGAGAGACGCACCGGCGAACAGGTAAGTCTCCAACCCCGCGCCTGGCCTCACGCTATTTCCATCGATAGGATGAGCAAAATCGAATTGCCTGTTGGCCGGTGCGTTGCTCATTGTATCGATGGAAAACTCTCTCTCTCTTTCTCTCTCTCTCTCTCTCTCTCTCTCTCGGCTAGCCACGTGGCAGGCCATTTTTCTTTTGTTTTTTTCGTAGGAGATGGCTATGGCGGGATCTTTGTCGCGTTGTTTGGCGGAGGACGAGCGGGAGGAGCGGAATGAGCGGGAGGAGCGGACTGAGCGGGAGGAGGGATGGCAAAAGGAGCGGGAAAAGGAGGAGTGGGAGGAGGAGCGGGAGCAGGTGCGGGAGAAGGAGCGGGAGGAGAAATGCGAAGGGGCGGAGGAGCCGCGGGAGGAGGAGCTGGAGAAGGAGGAGCGGCAGGGGAAACGGGAAGGGGGTTAGGAGCAGGAGAAGGAGCACGAGGAGAAACGGGAAGGGGCGGAGGAGGCATGGGAGGAGGGGCGGTAGAAGGAGCGGGAGGGGGAGCGGGAGGGGAAACGGGGAGGGGGTTAACGAATGCGAGGGAGGCAGAGGAGGGGGAGGAGATATAGGTGGAGGAGGAGAAGCGGGAGGAGCATGAGGACGAGCGGGAGAAGGAGCCGCAGGAGGAACGGGGGAAAGAGCAGGGGAAGCAGCGGGAGAAGGAGCAGCAGCAGGGGGGAGAGCGGGAGGAGGAGGAGGAGGAGAGGGAGGAGCAGCAGGAGAACGAGCGGGAGCGGGGCTATGGCGGGATCTTTGTCATGTTGTTTGGCGGAGGAGTGGGAGGGGGAGGAGGGGTGGGAGGAGCGGGAGAAGGAGCGAGAGGAGGCGTGGGAGAAGGAGCGAGGAAGGAGCGGGAGCGGGGAAGGAGCGGGAGCGGGGCTATGGCGAGGGAAGAGGAGCGGGAGGAGGGGGAGGAGGAACCAGGGGAAAAGCAGGAGAAGCGGCGGAAGGAGGATGAGCAGCAGGAGGAGCGAGAGGAGCAGCAACAGAGGGAGCGGGAGAAGGAGAGGGAGAACGAGCGGGAGAAGGAGCGGGAGCGGGGCTATGGCGGGATCTTTGTCATGTTGTTTGGTGGAGGAGCGGGAGGAGGAGGAGGAGCGGGAGGAGGAGCGGGAGGAGGAGTGGGAGAAGGAGAGGGAGAAGGAGGGGGAGGGGACAGGGGATGGGGTTGCATCTCACAGCCCCTTTCTCCAAGTTCCCTCAAATTCTCCCTGATGGAACTCTAGTTTACTGACGGATCGATGGAGGGCAGCGAGTTCTTCGTTAGTGTGGAGGAAGGTTTACGTTTAAAGAGTTAATCGTTCATCTGTGGCAACTTGCTTTCCTTTTTGCTCCTGCAGCAACTTCTGCAGCCTCTCCCCCTCCTCTTTCATCCTTTTTTTCCGTTATATTCCTGTCTTTTCGCCGCCACCATCCTATTGTTCAATTCTGCCTTCTTCTCCTCCAGCAACAAATTCTTCTCCATCTATCTGTTGCAGATGCCAACTCAATTATAAAGACATTTTTCTCTTCCTCCGTCTCTTTTGGGAACTCCGTCCTGTACCCAAACTGTTCAATCCAGTTCATCTCCTCCAGTTGTTGTATACCTTGGCTAGGCCGGACCCGGACCCGGACATTTCCGGACCTGGAACGGGACCCATGTCCGGTAGTTTCCGAATGTCCGGAATTCCAAATATTTCCGGACCTCCGAACATGGGGGGATCTGGACGGTCCAGGTGTGGACAGGTCCGGAAATGTTCGGACCATTAAAAAAAAATTAAAAAAAAAAATCTGAAAAAAAAAGTATGTTATGCAAAATAACAATGGAAACCGCTTTTGCCTCAGAGTCATGTCAGAATTCCTAACCAAACTTGAGTTAAAAGTCAAAAACTATAAAAAATCCTAAAAAAAGAGTTTAAAAGACTTAAAAAACTAATAAAATTATAAAAGGTAATGAATTATTAATAATTAAAAAATTGGGGTTGTCTAATAAATTGTTATAGAGAGAGGGCATGTCCGGACCCCCAAAAAAAAGCACAAAACAATACTCCTCAATGGGGAAGGGTCCTGGACGGGTTTTTTTTTTTTTCCCCCCTCGAAATTTGGCAGATCCGGACCTTCCAGACCGGACGTCTGGAGTCTGGACTGAATCCAGACCGTCGGGACGGCAGTCCGGACCTCCGGATCGTAGCCATGATAAATACTAATAAGAAAAATAAGAGAATAAAAAGAGAAATTAGAGAATTAAAATTAGTGAGTGCGCACGCCCATTTTGGACACCGCCATCTTTGGGGATTTTTCATTTTGTTTTGGCATAGCCAAATGCCCTGCAACTTTAGTAGTGGGGCCTGAATATTACCGAATAGGAAGTAGCATATAGATGTACTGTGTAGCTTTACTCCACCTCTTCGACAACAGCAAGGTAGTTGGCCTTTGGCGACGGTATGTCGACGAAGGTAGTAGCGCTAGGGTTGGGGGTTGAATGTGAAGTATCGGGCTGACGAAATGGATGGATGATGCTAACTGGTCGGACACGTAGGAATTAGCGACCACTGTGAACAGGAGAGTTTAAGGATGTGACTACTGTTGTTGAACTGTTAAAACGCCATTTTCAGGGGGTTTAGACTACGGTCTTTACACTCGTGTACTAAGTTGGTGTGTACCAACCGAGTTGGTGTGTGCTAAGCTGGTGTGCTCGTGTGAATCGTGAATGAAGAAAGTGAGTTGATTAATAAGTTGGCGAAGCACTCGTTAACCATCGGGGAAAGGTACCCCGGATAGGTGTTCGAGACTGAATGGGGAGTGAATGGGTGAATGAGTGAATGATCCACGAAAGTACACGATAAGACGCGGGCGGTGGAGATGACATCAGGCAGCCAGTCAAGTGGTGCAGGCAAAGGCCAGAACCAACCACCGAGGAGGGGCCCACCGATATGCTACGGCTGCAGGAAGCCTCGTCACTACAAGTACGAATGTTGGAAGTATAACAAGTCTGAAAGCGAGCAGGGGAAATAGGGAGGCACATGATCATCTCCACCTAGACGTTGGGAAAGAGGATCGTCATTGTCCTCGCAAGGAGATGGAAGCTCTTCAAGAGCAGTGAAAGAGCTGGTAAACCTACTGCTGGCAAAAGAGGAAGCAAAAGCAGCAAAAAGAAAGGAGGAACGACAAAGAGCGTTTGAGAAAGGAGGAGGAGGAGGGAAAGGAGTGCGAGAGAAGGGAAAATGAAGAAAGGCTATCACAAATAGTCAAAAGTGCAGCTGGAAAAGTGGGGACCTCCGCCGAGCGTTGTGCCAAGTGAAGTTCCACGCGCACATAGACGGGAGAAATCGAAGAGGAGGTGGCGCCCGTGCAGAATACCGTACCTGGCGGATGGGCGATTTTCGATGAAGACATCGGGACAATTAGGGGACAAACGACGAAGTTGTGTCTGAGCACGGAAAAACGAAAGAGGGAAATCGCCGATGAGGAGTCATCGAGCCCTCCATCACTGGTGAAATCACGTACGAGGGGAAAAGGGAGACCAAAAGGGACAACAAAGAAGATGAAGACCGGGCTGAAGCCCATGACCATGCGGGAGCTTTGAACGAAAGCGGATCCGACGAAGAAAGGGGCTAGTGCGGGATGGGAACTAGGAGCAAGAGCACGTTTCATTGAAGACACGAAAAATTACATGGACGCGATGGACTACAAGATAGTGCAGAGGATGTGTAAAGCGGAAAACATCCCGTATGTCAGAAAGGCGCAAGCAGCAGGGCCCTTAGCGGAAAAACGAGCAATTCTAGCGTATGATCGAGGCGCAAGCGAAGCATCAGGAGAAGAGAAAGAAGGGAAAGATGAGGAGGAGGAGCCCAGTGAGAGCGAATCGGATGAATCTGATGTGTCATCATCGGAATGAAGGCGGGAGGGGACTGCAAAGCTGTGGAAGAAATGCTGGGAGTTGATAGGGGCACGAAAGAAGAGACGAGGGGTATGTTGTCAATTAGAGTCAGCCTATAGAGCGGTAGTGATAGCGCTAGCACTGAGGGGGAGCGTGTCGTGGGCCCTGAAGTTCATCAATGGATGAGCGTCTATGAGCAGGGATGATGAGGACTTCTTGAATAACCCGCTGTCATGTGTGAATGTCGGGATATCTCCGCTTTGTAAAGCTATTTACATTGGACGTACATCCAGGAAGTTGGACGTCTGATGGGTGGAGCATACCTACTGAAGCGGACAAGACTCGCAAAGCACGACTCATTTTCATCGTTGCATGAAGACTTTCGGAGCGCACAACTATGTCTTGATCCCGATTGCTAAGGCTCAAGCTGAGGAGCTCCCGACGATCGAGGAGTTCTTCATTCGGAAATGGTCGCCAGCATTGAACGTCTACGGAGTGTAGTCAACAGGATCGGGTTCCAGAAGGAAGCGACATGGGAAGCGGGAACGAGCCAGGCAAAGAGGTAATGTGCAAGGAAAGAAAGTCGAAAGAGAAGAGATGAAGGACATGGGAGCTGTGGAGTTGTTGCGGTTTGCTGTAGGGAGTGATGACAGGAGAACATTGAGCCTGGTTGATCCGCTGAAAGAGCAGTGGAGGATAGGGAACATTTGTTTCTCACTTCGAATTGAAGGAGGTAATGCATGGAGTGACACATGGAAGAAGGTTAAGAGATTGTACGGTGAAACGGAGATACTTGCCAACGGACAAGTGGGGAAGCTTCGAAGCTGTAAAATAACGATGGAAAAAGGAGGTGAGTTGATAATATGGAGACTGAAGAAGTGGGAGAAAGGTTGCAAGGGTCAGAAGCAGCCATGGTTGTCCTACTGAAATACCCGAAGAGGAGAAAGGATATCACCAGTTTTCCACTAAGGTTGTTGATTGAATTGGTGGGGACGGCGAAAGAATTCTCAAAGAAGGCAACCAGAAGTCTGCTGCGTCGAATCCTATTCGGTGCAATCAAGCTGAAGACGGGTGTTAACTTTTGTACAACAGATTGGTTGTGAAGCTGCGCTTTGACGGCCGGGTGAACCTGAGTGGCGTTCGTAAGCTTTGTGATGAGAAATGAGATGGATTGGGATTACCGTCGTGCACCAGCGACATCCTGAAGCGGAAGTTCCGAATCGGTGATGAAGAATCCTGCGGTTAGGGACCTACTGCACAATCACCGGGAATTTGCTTCCTGGATGATAGTAGCCTGTAGTAGCCTATAAATGTACGGGCTTCGACCTGCCCAGAGTCGGCGGGCACGTGTGATGTCGCTTGGGTGATTTGACAGAGGTACCCGAGCTAATGAAGAACGCAAAAAATGTTCCTCATTCAGAGAAGGGTGGCAGAGCGATCCAGCTGAAGCACGGGATCGAAGAGGGCTTTTCAAATTGGAAAGTGGGGAGGAAGACGAAGGTGGAAGTGAAGTATGAAGAAGCCAGAAGGTGCCTGAATGAGCGAAAGGCGGTAGCAGGAGAATCGAGGATGAAGTACTGCAGGTTAAGAAGAGGTATGAAGGCCTAGTGTTCAGTCCCGTGGATCGAAACCTGGGAGAAACCTGCATCATGTGTCCACAAGTCTACTATGAAGGGATGTTTGGGAAGAACGAGGGTTTTGAGATGGTGACCCCAGCCGGAGGAGGAATATTGGAAAGAGAGCTACGAGGAGTTCGTCCAAGCTGGGCTGGGACAACTTGGCAAGTGGAACAAGGCAGGCGGGACAGGAAAAAGTTACATGATACCTAAGCAAAAGGACTTGGAGCTGTTCCGCACCATCTGCCCTACATTCAGTGAGCCCGCGAATATAATAAGCAAGAAGATGGCGCATGCCCTTAACATGATGTTGAACAAGATCCCAGGAAGGGAGCACTTTAACCTGCAGGCAGTATCACAACTGGCGAATCGTCTGGAGGAAGCAAACAAGTTGTTCAGGCGGGGAGGGCCTGAAACACGGATCCTCTCGGTATCATACGATGTCAAGGACACGTTCTGTCGGCTGCCACATGGAGAGATAAACCGAGGTTGTCGAATGCTTGATTGAGACACACCGGTAGAAAGGTTGAAGGGCGGTAAGAGTAGATCTGAGGGGGAAAGGAGCTCAGTTTGATGGGAAGGCGGATGGGAAATGGTGGTCGGTGAGTTTGGACGAAATTCGTAATTTTGTTAAATTTGAATTGGAGCACATAGTGACTATGGCGTCGGGGGTATTGTTGAAGCAAAATGTTGGCGTGCCTATGGGAAAAAGTACGAGCCTGCCACTCACATGCTTCATATGTGCGTATGCTGAGTGGTGTTTTTTGGGCTCGTTGGGGTCAGATAGGAAGCTCGTTGTCAGAATAAGGCTGATGGACGACGTGTCCCTGTTCTTGGCTTACAAAAGCAGAGATAGGAGATCATGCAACAGGGCGAAGAGCATAAGGAGGAGATTTGAGTCCTGCTACCCCAGGAACCTTACCCTAAAGCGAACCGACGATGGGGGGGTTACCTGGTCGTTCTTGGGGTGTCGCCTGACTGTACGAAAGTCCTTCCCGTACTTGGGGAGGCTGCAAACAGTGAAAAACGGAGCCACGATCTGGTCAAGTAGACTGTTGGTGATCCGGACCGGCCAGGATTTCAGATCCTGGACGAGCGGGCTACAAAAAGTAGCGGCGGTCGCAGGAAGCCTACACAGGCTCAACAAAAACACTCCGAATCGGACCGAAATTCCGATTCAAGTGCTTCTCCTGAGAATCGAGTTCCGGGCAAAGGGGGTCCCGGACCAGCTCTTCGGGAAAGTTATGGACGAGTTAGCGAAGAAACGAGACAATGTATGGAAACTGGCGGCAACACTGCTGAGACTGTCCTAAGTACCCTGGAGGCCGTGGGTTGGACGCCCGCTTGTGTGCCTTGAGTGCCTATTGGCATTGTTGGTCTGCTTGGTTTTGTTTTCTAGATTTGTAGATTTGGTTTGATATCGATTCTGCAGGATTGCCATGCTGGAGTCTGGAGTTTTCGAATTGGGTGTTTGAATTGTTTGTGATTTGTTTCTTTTTGTTTTTTGTTTGTTTGTTTGTTTTAATAGATTGTTTACATGACGGGAGTCGAGAGATAGAAGTGGGGCCTGAATATTACCGAATAGGAAGTAGTATATAAATGTACTGTGTAACTTTACTCCACCTCTTCGACGACAGCAAGGTAGCTGGCCTTTGGCGACAGTACGTTGACGAAGGTAGCAGCGCTAGGCTAGATGTGTATAAGAGACAGGGAGTCGAGAGATAGAAGTGGGGCCTGAATATTACCGAATAGGAAGTAGTATATAAATGTACTGTGTAACTTTACTCCACCTCTTCGACGACAGCAAGGTAGCTGGCCTTTGGCGACAGTACGTTGACGAAGGTAGCAGCGCTAGGGTTGGGGGTTGAACGCGAAGTATCGGCTGACGAAATGGACGGATGATGCTAGCTGGGTCGGACACGTAGGAATTCGCGACCACGGCAAACAGGAGAGTTTAAGCATGCAACTACTGTTGTTGAACTGTGACAACGCTATTGTCGGCGATTTGGACTACGATCTATACACTCATGTACTAAGTTGGTGTGTACCAACCGAGTTGGTGTGTGCTAAGCTGGTGTGCTCGTGTGAATCGTGAATGAAGAAAGTCATTTGATTAATAAGCTGCAACTTTACATATGTGTACTTCACACAATACAAAACTCGTGCAAAAAAATTAAAAAAATAATAAAATATTTGAGGCATCAAAATAAAATCACAACAGAAAGTGAAAAGTGAAAAAAAAAAAAAAAATTGAGTAGCCGAGCACGTTTTAACACCACCATCTTTGACGATTTTTTATTTTGTTTTGGCTTGGCAAAATGCCTTGAAAATTTACATGCGTGTAGTGCATGTCCTACGGAACTTACCCAAAAAAAAATCATTTTTAGGTCCCGAAATAATTTTTGGGAGGGGATGAACCCCCTTCAGGTTCGGGCCCCGAACGGGACCCCGAACACCTGAACGTTCGGGGGTCAGCCCGGGGGCCCGCGAACTTTCGGGGGACAGCCCGGGGGCCCGCGAATGTTTGGGGGTCAGCCCAAGGGCCCGCAAACGTTCAGCCCGGTAACCATGTATATAAGCAGTGTGACTATGTGCACTTCGTGGGAGGTGCAATTGTCAGGGTCCTGACTGTGTCCTTTATGGACACAACGTGCACGTGACCACACGGGCAACCAAAGGAGCAAATACATGGTACCAAACGTCCCAGATATTTGCGACTTTAGGTCCCTGTGTGAGTATGCCCTCAATGTTTCCATCCTTTCGTATTGCTATTGTTGTGAGGTCGCTGATAGAGCAGAAGTGTAGTTTGCTAAAAAGGTGCTCTCTCTCTCTCTCTCTCTCTCTCTCTCTCTTCCCTTAGTGGTGGCTCATTCCCACCTATTCACCAGGAAGTACGTGTTCTCTATGTGTCACCCATCTCATTGTTATGAACTTGGTTGTCTGACGATTTTCTCGCCACTCACACACAGAGTGTCTGACACACGCCAGACAAAGGAGAGAGGAGACAGAGTCCAAACTGCACACGGACAAAGATAAGCAGCGGAATTCAACCATGCATAGATGGGGAGAGACAGATAGTGATTCTCACTCTCTGACAGACTCCCAACAATCAATCACAAGAAGACACCTGCGAGGATAACAGTCAGAATCACACTGATGATGAGCCAACTCAAACCAATAATCGTTACAGAGTTTATCCCAGTGTCTCGCCACCCTCAGAACTCCACACACCACTCTCTATTCCACACCCAGTTAGTAGCGCAACACGGAATCCGCCTCCCCGAGGCCAGCGCCAACCATCCAGATGAAGAACATGAATCGCGATGAAGTCTTCAGTGTTGATGAGTAACTCTGACGAAGAAGATGGCAGCTATGGTTGCCACACCACTGACGAAGCCCTGACAATCTCCGGGGAGCAAAGGGCGACAGTGGTCCATCCACATACACTCAGTGAAGAGCCTTAGAACAATCCAGCCAATCGCAAATACCCTCAGGGGTAGATGCTCAGAGGGTGCCCCAACTATGGCAAACACCGACAGGCTTGCTAGGGCTGCCGTCCACAATGAGGGTCTCAGGATGCCGCCTGTAGACCATCACGACCACCAAACTTGCTTGGCCCCAGCACACTGTATCGCGAAAATGAAATGCCAAAAGTCCCTAACCCACAGGCTCGATCTCATTAATAAACTAGCCTACTCTAGACCTGGACCTATTGGACCGGTACCGCATCAGTTTGGCCTGTTCGGCCTGGGCCCTACCCGGCTATGCCGCGTCTAAACCATTGCTACAGCCAAAGGCCCAGATGGGCCTGCTGTCCTAGTGATAGCCCGGGCCTGCTAAGGGCAGTGACAACTAAGGGAAACTCGGGCCTACAATTTTCCTGTAAATTGCAGATATGTCCCTCACGAATTCCCTCGCTGGACTGGTCTGGCGGTTAGTCCCGGACGCAAACAAAGTTACGAATCTAACCTACCGCTGTACTGAACAGCCTCGCAGTCAGTCTCGGCAGTCGATTTCAGCAAGTTATTGCAGGCTTTCCCCCCCGGGGAGCGAGGACCTCCGAGCTAGGGGTGCAAACGAGGAGAACGGCGAGGAAGTGCACCCTTCTGAGCCGCCTCGTAACGCAAAACTACGGACTTTGCTGTCTTGAGAAGTTCTTTCCTGGTGAACCACCGGTCCTCAGTATGAGGCTGGAAACAGAACTTCACAAGATACTGCCGGTCGGGGCCAGTGTCCCACTCGTCCTCAATGGACTCCACGTCATATCCCTTGCCCGGGATCGGTGGACCAAACCGAGGAGGCCGGTCTTGGAATGCATCAGTTGAGGTGAAGGGGAGCAGTTTGGATGCATGAAAGACCGGGTAGGTCTGCAGATGCAGTGGGACGTCGATGACGTATGGTGGGCCAAATGGATCAGAACCCACTGTATCTAAGACCTGCCATGGACCCAAAGAATGAGGCAACAGCTTGGGGGAGATATCCTCCTCCCTCGAAAACTCAAAACTGGCCACCTAGACATAGTTACCAATTCGGATGGGGGAAGGCCGCCTATGGCTATTAGCTTGTTCGATCATAGCCTTGTGGGCTTTGAACAAGTTCGCCTGTGCTCTTTCCACATCTATGCGATAGCGTCTGGCAAACTCTGCGGTGTCTGGCGTCAGATTAGACTTAGCCTTATCGATGATATCATCGAGAGGCTGTCGTGGTTCACGTCCCCAGTGCAAACGGTATGGGATGAACCCAGTCGAGGAGTGGATAAACGTGTTATAAACAAGTTGTGCACGAGCCAAGTGGAGATCCCAGTCCTGTTGATCTGGGGATCTCCACTTGGCTCGTGCACAACTTGTCTATAACACGTTTATCCACTCCTCGACTGGGTTCATCCCATACCGTTTGCACTGGGGACGTGAACCACGACAACCTCAGGACGCAACAATTGGAACAGGACCTGGTTCATCACTTCAGCCTGACCATTGGCTTCAGGATGATGACCAGAAGTCATGTCCAGTCATGAGTGTAGGTAATCCTTACAATAGGATTGCCACTCATTGCTGCAGAATCGTGGATCTCGATCACTGACTATAGAAGTGGGCGGTCCATGGTGAGTGACCCACCTCTCTGAAAACGTTGCTCTCACAGGGGGAACCCTAGCTACTTCTGGCAAGGGGATGAACTCTGCGTACTTAGAGAACCTGTCCACACAGACCATTACCTGACGCATGCCACGAGGGGTGGTCTTGCCTAGATCTGTGAAGTCAATAGACACAGATTCCGCAGGACCATCAGGTATGGGTAAGGGTTTGAGCAGTCCCAGAGGAGGTCTACGCTGGACCTTATTTCTCTGGCAGAGCTCGCAGGCTCCAACATAGTGTAGCAGATCACTCCGCTTCTCCTTCCAGAAGAAGCGCTGCGACAAGGCGACATATGACTTTAAGAACCCAAAATGTCCGCGTGCATCATGACACTCTGACATCAGCAGTGTCCTGAGTCGCTGGTTTTGGGAATGCACAAGCGTTCCTCACCTCTGCTGTAGGTATACAGCAAGTCTGAATTCGGGGCATAGCGGGGTTCAGAATTGGGATCCGCTTGCAAATTCATGACTATGGGTCCATAAGTCGGGTCCTGAGGCAGTAGACGAGCAATGGTTTGACGGGTCGCCTCCCCAAAGGAGTGAGTGGAGGAGATCAGCGCAAAAGAGTCAGGCCTACGAGAGAGGGCATCTGCTACTTTATTGTAGTAGCCCTTCTTATGTTTCAGTTCAAAGTCAAACATGTCAATGAACTGAATATAGTGTGTCAGTTTGTCATTCAACTCTCTCTGATATTTCATCCACTGTAACGTGGAATGATCACAGAAGATCTTGAAGTGTCTTCCCAGGAGAAAGTGCTTCCAATGCTTTAAAACACAGACAAGAGCATATAGCTCCTTCTCGTAGGTAGAGTCCTGAAGCGTCCGAGTCTTGATCTTCTTACTCGTGAACTCTACAGGCCGTAGACAATTCCCATCATCTTGTTGAAGAACTGCCCCAATGCCATACCGACTGGCGTCAGTGGTCAGGATGAATGGCAAGTTGGGGTCAGGCAACTTCAGCACTGGTGCACGAGTCAAGGCCTTCTTGAGTCGTGTGAAGGCCAACTGACAGGGAAGAGACCAAAGGAAAGGAGTGTCTTTGCTTGTTAGGTTGGTAAGGGGTGCAGCCACTCCAGAAAAGTTCCTGACAAACTTTATGTAGTACGAGGCCAAACCCATGAAGGACCGGACATCTCTCACTGTCTGTGGCTGTGGCCACTCGAGAGATTACATGACCCAGGTAGATAACAGAGGGAACCCCAAAAGAGGACTTCTCCCTGTTAATTTTGTACTGGTTGTCACGTAATGACTGAAGAACTAGAGCCAACTGCTCCGCATGTTCCCTGGTAGTCCGACTGAATATCAGAATGTCATCTAGATAGACAACCATGAACTTGTCCAGGTAAGGCCTGAAGATGCGGTGCATCTTAGTCTGGAAGGTACCTGGGGCATTGCAAAGTCCAAATGGCATAACCAGATACTCCTAAGTACCATATCTGGTTTTGAAGGTTGTTTTGTGGACATCCTCCTCTGCCATCTCAATCTGATGATACCCAGATTTGAGATCGACTTCGCTGAACACTGTACAACCCTGCACCATATCCAGAAGGTCATCGATCGTAGGAATAGGCTTTGTACTTTTCCTAGTGATCTTATTGAGACCCCTGTAGTTGATGCACATTCTGAATTCTCCATTCCCTTTCGGGACGAACAGCACTGGTGCGCCAAATTCAGATGTGCTCGGTCGTATCCAACCCTTGCTGGTCAGGGTCTCTAACTGCTTTCTGAGCTCCTCAAGCTCAGCAGGGGACATCCTGTAGATGCGGCCTTTGGGAGGGACCGCTCCAGGTAGCAGCTCAATGTGATGCTTGGTTGGCCGGTTGGGTAATCCAAAGGGCTCCTGCATCAGATCGGCATACTGGTCCACAACCTGCTGTTTCTCAGGAGGACAGGAAACAAATGCAGCGTCTGTTTGCTTGACCAGAGCTAGAAACAGACGCTCGTGGTCATACTGGCGCGAGAGAGAATAGAAGTCGCTCGCTCTCAAACAGTAGCAACTAGTCTTAGGGTGGTGATCAACGACTATCATGCAAGGCTGATACACCCCCTGCCCATTGGGGAGTTCAACCTTAGGGATCTGCCAGTCGATCCTAGGGTTGACCGCCCTCAGCCACTGCATAGAGAATACCAGATCAAAGGGTAGATCAGGGAATATGTAGAAGTTCAAAGAATGTGCGACTTCTCCAGCACTGTCGAAGGTAAGAGGTATACCCCTGACCTTATCCTTGATGGTGAGGATAGTGGAGTCACCTATCCTGACTTGCAGCGGATGCTGCAGTTGCTGAACTTTCATGCCCAAGTGCAGTTTCTTGACAGCACTGGGAGACATGAAGTTCGTGGTGGCTCCACAATCTAACAACCCTTTGATTCTGATGTGATTGATCAGGGGCCGGAGTAGGATGAGATCAGACTTACTTTTCTTTTGTTCTTTCAGAAGAACGAAGAAAGCAGCAAGTGACTGAAGCTCATTCTCCTCCGGGTCCTGATCCGGGTCAGGATCCTGATAGCAGAAGGATGCTGCCCATGCACTCCCCAAACTCCAAGACTTTGTCTCAACTGAAGCAGCTGCAGATTCATCTAGCAGATGAAGGTGCAGCACTGGGGGGAACTGCAGTCCCCAGGGTCTGCTTAAGTTTTTTGACTGACCCGGGCCTGGCATGTAAGGGCAGTCCTTTAGAAAGTGTTGTCCCTCACACCGCAGACAGACCCCTCGATACTTCCTTCTTCCCAGACTCCTTCTTGGATCTTGAAATCATGCCAAGGGAGAGTGGAGGGATTGAGTGGGTCAGCTGGCATTCGGACGTCTTTTGGCACGTTAGGGCGCTGGGCAGAGGTAGAAGGACGACGTCCTTTGTCCTTCCCCTTTGAACTGGCTGAGGCTGTAGCGGGAGAAAACCGTTTCTGTTGCTGCAGAACTCCCAAGACAGCCTAAGTCAGGGCCGCTGCAACATCTGTATCAGCAGCTGAATCAGTCCCAGCTGATGGTACATCAACCTGGGAGTTTGAATCACTTGTCGATGCAGACCCTGCATGTGTGAAGGCAGCCTTTCCCTTTCTGCCACCACGAGGGAAGGCTCCTTTTCTTCTATCAGAAGAAGGGGCCTGAACATGAAGCTTTGCCTCCATGTCCAGGGCTGCATGGGCGAAGGATCTCCAATCCTTATGTCCAGCGGTATACAAGGCAACAACAAACTTCTCAGGTGCTGCCCTGCAGAAGTTGGTCAGCAGATCATCTACTGACATGACCAACCCAGGGGTAGAGGTCAACTGCTCGAACCCTGCAAACAAGGACTGCAGTGACCTGCTGTAGCGCTGCTGTCCCAGGCGAGCAATCCTGTCAGCAGCTTTGCGGGCCCGATCCTTGTCTGCAAAGCGGTCCTCTAAGGCATGCCGAAGTTTGTCCACCCCCAGCCCAAAAGCCCAGTCCTCCATAGATTGCTGCTGACTGATGGAAGTAGAAGTGGCCCACTTCAGGGCAGGCCCCTCCAGCAGTCCCAGAATCGTGCCCACCTTAGTCTGTTCTGCATAGACAAAGCCCCTCAAGTAGGCTTTGGTCCCAGCAACCCAGTCCCCAACATCGGTCTTTGGGTCATCCTCTCTGAACTTGTTGGGAGTTGGGATCTTGGGTCCCCTTTGATCTCCTGCAGCAACAGACACAAAAGATGGGTGGATTGCAACTTTTTGGGAGTGAGGTGGTGAAGGGGAAGAAGGGCGTGAACCAGAGGGAGATGGTGAAGGAGAAGGAGAAGGTTTCACTAAGAGTGCAGGAGACTGAGGAGCGATCAATTTGGTTGCTGTCAGCTGAGCAGTCAGATCCCAAATTGCATTCAGTATCTTTGACTGCTGAGCCGCCAGGTCATCCACTTTGCGCTCCAGACGGCCTATGCGGTCATCCCAGTTAGTGAAGTAAGAACTGGTGGCTTTATGTTCTAGAATGACCCACTCCGCCAAGTTCTTAGTCACCTGGGCGCAGTGGGCATCTGCAACAGCCTTGGCTAGCTGCTCCAACAGATACTCGCCACGTGACGCACCTGTTGCAGCCTCTAGCTCGGCTGCCTCCTGTCTCTCCAATTCTACAAGCAGGGCCTGCTCCTGCTGCAGTTTTTCCTATAACTCCTTTCGCTGAGTAGCAGTCAGAGGGGTAGTAGGGGTGGAGGCAGAAGGTTGTTGTTCTTCTACCTTCATCACTACTTCCACCTGTGGCTGCTGCCGAGCCTCCTTATCTGTCATTTTCCTCTTTCAGAAAACAAAGTTAGTAGACAGCAAGGGAGTGCAGCGATCTTCAATTTCCTTCAGACTCTCAGAAATCGTTGTTGTCTCATACGCAAAGGTAGGTGGGTGAATAGGCAACAAGCGGTTTGGGTTAGAACGGTTTCTCTGGGGTCAACAATCCAGTAAAATCAACCACACGCTTTCCTTTTACTCACCCCGAACCTTTACTGAAGTTAGTATACACAACTCCAACAATTCTAGAGATACCCTAGATTTCTAGAGACCACTAGAAAGCAAGAGAGATCATTGAGATTGAAAAGACATGGCAAGACTAGACAACAATGACCAACCAGACAAGCGATTCAGTCAAAAAGCTTAGATCCTAGCTCAGACTCCAATTTCGGCCCTGATGACTCTGGCGGCCATACCCTTGGGTATGGCGAATTCGGAATTACAATATTCACTGTATCTAGTGGAATACTGCAAATCCAGACAAGCGCTTCTGCCCTACTGACAACTACTGAATTGCGATTTACTGCAAACTGACAGAATTGAATTCTGACGGACAGAATTGGAGTTACGACTAACCCTAGTTAGCACAGGCTATAATTGGACTCAACGCAAAACTACAATTCACAGTATCTCTACCATTCCAGTACAGAATTCACAGTTTGAGCATCCAGGATCCAGTGCAATATAGTAAGGCAGTCACATAACAATTTTGGATGGAAAAGAGTCAACAGAGGGTCAGAAATGAGCAGGAGGAGGTAGGAGAGAGATGGTTATGGCTATCATGCAGTCTACGATTTTCAATTTCAGACACTGATAGACAGACATACCATTAATACTAGCTATTCTAACCCTATCTGAATCGCTATACAAAGATTTGCATGGAACAAACTCACTTTCAGAGTTACTTGCAGAGCTTGATGGAGATCTAGCTATGGCAGACTGAAACCCTCATCTCGCCAGCTTCTTCCAGAATTTCCTCCTCTGACCTCCACGCATAAAAGCTCTCCAGACTTGTTGATCCTGTTCAGGATCCTGAGGCGCTTCAGCCCCTCTAGTCAGATTCACTGAATCTGACCCTGTGGCGCTCAGAAAGCCAACAAAAGATTATCTCGCCATAGTGCCTGACAGTCGCTGATGCGATAAATAGCCTCAGATGGGGTGAATCTCGCCTGGGATTGACACGGACTGTCAATCCACCTCAGCGCTGCTCAGGGATGAAGCCGCTCAGAGGTCTCTGAAGTCCTCAGGGGTAATTCGCCACTTTGAGGCAATTCGCTGTATTGCCCTCACGGTTGGCTATGGCAAATTAGCCATGTTCTCGCCACTTCCTGGCAAGCGCCCTGACAAGCTCCGTGCGCTTGTTCAGTGCAAGCACTGAACTCCTGAATTCACCGCTTGAAATCTTCTTCTCTACTGTCTCAGTACTGGAGAAGGAGAATCGTCATGAAACTTCTGGCCAGTAGATCGCCAGATGAAGAAGATGCCTCCGTTGCGCTCAACCCTCAGTGTTTCAATTCCAATCCCGCTCCGATACCAGCTGTTATGAACTTGGTTGTCTGACGATTTTCTCACCGCTCACACACAGAGTGTCTGACACACGCCCATACACATACCTGACAAAGGGGAGAGGAGACCGAGTCCAAACTACACACGGACAAAGATAAGCAACAAAATTCAACCATGCACAGATGGGGAGAGACACACAGTGATTCTCACTCTCTGACAGACTCCCAACAACCAATCACAAGAAGACACCTGCGAGGATAACAGTCGGAATCACACTGATGATGAGCCAACTCAAACCAATAATCGTTACAGAGTTTATCCCAGTGTCTCGCCACCCTCAGAACTCCACACACCACTCTCTANTGATGAGCCAACTCAAACCAATAATCGTTACAGAGTTTATCCCAGTGTCTCGCCACCCTCAGAACTCCACACACCACTCTCTATTCCACACCCAGCTAATAGCGCAACATGGAATCCGCCTCCGCGAGGCCAGCGCCAGCCATCCAGATGAAGAACATGAATCGCAATGAAGTCTTCAGTGCCGATGAGTAACTCTGACGAAGAAGATGGCAGCTATGGCTGCCACACCACTGACGAAGCCTTGACAATCTCTGGGGAGCGAAGGGCGACAGTGGTCCACCCACGTACACTCAGTGAGGAGCCTCAAAACAGCCCAGCCAATCGCAGATACCCTCAGGGGTAGATGCGCAGAGGGTGCCCCAGCTATGGCAAACACCGACAGGCTGGCTAGGGCTGCCGTCCACGACGAGGGTCTCAGGATGCCGCCTGTAGACCATGACGACCACCAAACTTGCTTGGCCCCAGCACGCTGTATCACAAAATTGAAATGCCAAAAGCCCCTAACCTACAGGCTCAGTCCTATTAATAGACTAGCCTACCCTAGACCTGGACCTACTGGACCGGTACCACATCAGTTTGGCCTGTTCAGCCTGGGCCCTACCCGGCTATGCCGCGTCTAAACCATCGCTACAGCCAAAAGCCCAGATGGGCCTGCTGTCCTAGTGATAGCCCGAGCCTGCTAAGGGCAGTGACGACTAAGGGAAACTCGGGCCTGCAATTTTCTTGTAAATTGCAGATATGTCCCTCACGAATTCCCTCTCCGGACTGGTCTGGCGGTTAGTCCCGGACGCAAACAAAGTTACGAATCTAACCTACCGCTGTACTGTACAGCCTCGCAGTCATTCTCGGCAGTCGAATTCAGCAACTCATTACATCATTCTCTCCCTCCACCCAGACCCCTCTCTTTCCCCTTTTGCTTTCCTCCCCCCATCTGCATCTGTTCCCACTGTTTCTTCTCTTGGCTCACACACTTCCCTTGCTTGTCTCTGTCTCTTCCCCAGCTGTGGTGGCTCATTCCCACCTATTCACCAGGAATTACTTGTTCTCTACGTGTCACCCATCTCATGCTCTCCCTCCACCCAGACCCCTCTCTTTCCCCTTTTGCGTTCCTCCCCCCACCTGCATCTGTTCCCGCTGTTTCTTCTCTCGGCTCACACACTTCCCTTGCTTGTCTCCGTCTCTTTCCCAGCTGTGCCCCCACCTCTCTCTCTCTCTCTCTCTCTCTCTCTCTCTCTCTCTCTCTCTCTCTCTCTCTCTCTC